AAAATATGGTGCTGCTTGCAAGTGTTCAAAAAGTTGCAGTAATGTTTGAAATTTTTTTTAACAGAATGCATTCACATCAACAGTACATGTATGTATCAGATTTGGAAAGGCGGGTTGAAGACCGTTGATGGTACTTAAGTTTCGACGTTTTTTTTTCTCAGGATTTTAAGAACCTAAGGAGAGGCAGGATACATTTTTACCTCTTACTCTACTTTAACTCTTATACTACAGACTATGTGAGGGTAGACAGGGGAGGGGGGGGGAGACAAACAACAACCAAATAAATCATTATATGTGAGGCAGCGTGGTGGAATCAGGCTCTCGTCAAAAATAATAAAAGTAAAAGTGAAGAAACTTGCATTTTTCCGCAGTTTTGTGAATTGTTATCAATTTTTATTTTTTTTGCTCAACACTTTTCATGCCCATTAAAGAACTCATTTCTGTATGGATGTTTCTTGAAAATGTTGATTAAAGGCACAAAAAAGTAGATTTTCAGTTACCGAGGACTCTAAAGCTAAGGAAATAACTAAACTTTGGCGGTGATTTTCTCACTAATTTTACCTCTGAAAACATGTGACCCCTACCTCCCTCATTCGCAAATATCTCGACTTGTATTCAAGATAAATGGAAATGTTTTCATCCTAATAAAAAAAAAAGAACAAGCTGTAAGATCATACCCATTACTCTACATGCCCAAGAATTTTAGAGAAGAAATTTTCCCAGTCACTGTCCACATTAGAATCCGGGACCAATTGAAAGGGAGGCGGACACCATAACCTCTCCACCACGAGTGCCCCCGGAAGGTGCTCTGTTCCTTTCTGTTGATTCTTCTGCTTTATTTAGGAGGTCGTGAAAGTGGATGCACCTAGTGTGACCTAGGTCAGAGAGCACGTTGGGCAGTTTTCCCTATTTCGGGTAAAGGTACGCACAAAGGGAACGCTTGCTCGCGATATTAAAAGTGAGCGCGATAAAGCGAGTGCTTGTGAAGAAAGCGCTTGCTTGTCGTTGAGGTGGACACAGAGAAAGATTGCAAATCGCGCTTGCGACTGGTCAGAACTTGGGCATTTGGCGCCATAGCGGATTCGAGTGAAGACGAACTGTTGTTGCTAGACAGTGTTTTGCCGAAAATTGTCCTAGGAAAACGCAAAAGAATGGGGGTTCATGAGATAAATAAAAGGAGGCGAGTGGAAGGTGAATATCACCTCTTGTTTTCTTTACTTAAAA